GGTCATGCTAAAGCAGAGGACAGATGCTGCTTTCACACACAATGCATTCCAAATGATGTGCAGCAAGCCCACAAATCACACACATACTACACACACACTGCACATACTACACAAATACTGCACACACACCGCAGACACACTACAGAAACACTGCATACCTACTGCACATGTACTGCTCACACAATGCATGCACACCACACACACTGCACACATGCCTCACACATGCTACATACACACCGTACGTGCTGAACGCGCCCTACAGACACACGGTGTACACATACTGCATACATACTGCACACACACTGCGCCTGTGCCTGCTGTCTGTGCTGATGGTCAGGGTGTGGAAATGTCAGAGGTTTTGAACCTTAGCGTGCACACTCATCAGATCAGAGTGCTGGATTCTTCACCGCGCTGCAGATCATCCTGCTTGTCCTCAATCCTGCTCTCCGGTTGGAGACTGATTGCTTTCGCTCTGTGAAGTCGTTGTGAGCAGCAGTGACAGAGCTGATAAAGCAGCAGCATCTCTGCATACTTACAGTGACTGACGTTAAAGGAATAGTTCACCGCAAAGTACATCAGATCACTGAAAATCAGTGGTGAACCGAGACTATTCTTATAAATTCAAAACTCAGTCAAAGATTGAGAACCAAAACCTTCCACAATAATGCTAATTTCTGCCAACGGCCCTGTGAGATTCTAGCAGTATATTAGCACTAAGCTAACAGCAGTTCATATGAACATTTCTTGACCGTTCTAAATTGAACAAACGTTTGAAGCTTATGTTCAGTGAATCTTTCAGTAGAGAGTCCTGCATAGAGCTGCCGCCACTGTTTTCCATTCCTAACAACTAACCGGAACCTGCTTAGACTATGACTCATATTCACAGTCAGTAATGTATCTAGAACTTGCAGAAGGACTAGAGTGATGTTTGTCTTGAAATTGTAAATCAAAGCGTGATTCGTTGGTTCCTCTGTCTTCTCCTAGTTATGTTGGTAGTTAATCTAATGTGTAAGGCCTTCAGTTCAGCTCCTGAAGTCCTAACCAAAGGGAGAGCAGCTCAGCTGTATCTATACAGGTATTAAGGAGAAAAAATGGAGGAGACTTAGTTTGGGGGAAATTGGGTTTGAAAAAACAGGTTGAAATACGTGTTTAAGCATGTGTTCCACACCATTTCAACAAAACATGTAGTTCAAACTGGAAACCGTAGCACAGCCCAGAAAGGCTTTTCACAGCTGAGTGTTGTGTTTTGAGTTAGTCTGATTGGAATTGGTGAGATAACAGTGATAAATGCTGTTGAGAGGTTTTTTAATGTTCACTGAAAGTGGTCCTTTAAGTGTTCATGGTTCCATATAGAACCATTGTCTTAGTTCATTAATATGGATTATATATATTTTATACAGCAGAGAGAGTTTGGATGTTTTTTTGGACTTTGTTTGTCTTTTCCTTTATTAACCAGAGACTCTGACTCTGTGTCCTGTGTGTGGTCATCACAGCGGTCATGCCCTGGGCTTATAGGCTAATTGGTCATTATAATATCATGCCTGGCTGGCTTTATTCACATCATGTTGTACCAAATAAATTCCATCTGATGAGTGCAGAAAACTTGATTGACCTCTTTTTGATGCTGTTTCAGCGTCTGGCTTAAATTCTAACATACAAAACAGCAATATGTCATAGAAGTCTGACAGTATTCTACACCGCAAAAATGACATATGGGATTTGCTGACATTTGCTAGACATTTTACCTATTTATAATTATTTAATTCAGTTAAAAGAATGGAAAATTCCATTGGCACATCCTTCATTGATGTTTTCTGAAATATAAAAATTTTCAGCCTATGGAATAAAATAATTTCACAAGACATAATTACTTAAAAGAAGTAAACAACATCTTGAAATAAGTAAAATCATTTTACAACCTTTCAAGAACCTCTCAGTGACTAAAGAGGATTTCACCTGCAAAGATATAATTTTTTATAGCGTGCCTGTAAATCTGGTGTCATTGTGTGGTTATGCTGAGTTTTCCTAGCCAAGTCCTCAGGCTCACCACCAAGCGCAAGCTCAAACACTGTAAGGCCAGAAACAGACTCAACGCAAGTGCACGAATGCAAATGACTGCACTCAGCCAATGCAATGCAAACACTTGGTCCCTCTGTACAAACGCTTCGTACTTTCTTATGTTACTGTGGTGGTTAAAACACTCAGTACTGAAGGGGGCACTAGAGGACAAATCAGAGGGGATCTACTGTTATTCCAACAGCCTCAACAGCTAAACGTGGACAGAGGAGAGTGAGCTGCTTTCCTTCCTCTGCTGGTATGGAAAGGTGATGAGTTTATGTAAGCCATTTTTGAGTGAGACTCATCTGCTCGTCTGCTGTGGCAGTTGAGAAAGCATGCTGGCCATACGTGAACGCATAGACAGGCTTGGATGTCGTTAGAGCGCCCCCTGCAGTAACGCTCGGAAAGCAGCTTGCGCTTGCATTGCATTATGAAATGCATCATGACACATTTTTCAACGTAGCTACGTGCAAAATCTGGTCTGCACAGCTCAAAGCGTCTATGTTCACATGCATCCTTGCATTAAGTATGTTTCTGGCCCAAGTTAGAGCATGCTAGGAATAAAGAACATGTTCTGCACATGAACTGTTTTTTGGGATAGTCACTGGAAAAAACTGACAGAGTGAAACATTTAATTTCTTTGCAATTAAAGTACTACAATTTTAAAGCTTTTCCAAAAAAGTCACTGTAACTTCGTCTGAAATCTGAAGGGCTCAGCGTGCTGAGCATTTTGGACCGGTTTCAGGTGCAAATCGGGTGTATGATGAGCTTCACTTCCTTGTGTATATGCATTTAAGAGGAAACATGGTGGTACTGCACAAAATGTATGTGGAGATATTACACATGCAACTGATTACACATTCCACTCAATTTACTGAACTGAGTAGTTAGTCTAGCTGCAGTTTAAAGGGGACCTATTATGCTCTCCTCTTTTTTTCTTTCCTTTTGTATGTTGTAGCTTTTTGTGCATGTAGCCATTCTGCAAAGTCCCAAAGCTCAAAGTTCCCTCCAGAGGGAGAAACTCTCTCCCACAGAAACTGCTCTTCTCAGCTGCCTGAAACGCCTTGTGTAATTCCATCTGTGTAATTGTTATAAGGTGACTCAATCTCGTAACAGTCCTTACTTACCGCCTACCGGTGAGCTCGGCACACCTTCACATAGCGCACAGAAGCTACTGGAGGAGGAGGAGTGTGGTCAGTGTTATAGCGTGTGGAGAAGACGCTGACCAGACTTTCAGGATCCACTCTGGATCAAACTGATATGGCAGAACCGACACCACTGGAGAAACAGCCACAGCGGAGTTTACAGCTGCTCAGGAGAGAAGGGTCTGTCTGCAGACTGCAGGACAGGGGCGGAACGTGGAGGGACGGAACCACTCTGGAGGGTGACTCACCAGAACAGAGTGGGCGAGATGGCCAATCAGACCATGCTGGGCTCATCAGGAGGTGGGGCTTAAAGACACAGGAGCTCTATCAGAGTGTTTCAGACAGAGGGTGAATAGAGATGAACAGTATGAGGGAAATAGTGTGTTTTTGGAATATTGAAGCTATAAATCTATTCTAGTAGACCAAAAATAAAATGATGAGCAATAAAAATGAACATAATAGGTCCCCTTTAAGTAAAATGAGAATTGAATTCAGGCTCATTGCGGTTGCATCAAGACACATTTTGCGGTGCACCAGTGGACACATGTCTGGGCCTGTTCATGTGGAGCAGAAGTGACAGAATCACATAAATAATTCAGTCTGTAGTAGGGTTTGAATGGCAGCTGCCAGGCTGATCCCTGCAGGTGTCAAAGTGGAGCTGAATGGTGATCAGTACAGAGTTTTCAGAATTTATATTGTCGCTGTCCAAAGAAAAACAAGCATCTCCAAAATAATGAGTTTAGAGGAGAGGGCAAAAACTATTATCTTTCAATGTAGGTTAATGTAAAGAGATTTTATTCCATGTGATTCTAGAGCATTTCTATTGGTCCATTCATGAAAATGAAAATCAAAAACAAAAATGGAGACACATGTTTTTCTTTGGACAATGATAATCTGTAAAACATCAGTGCAGACTCTGACTGTGACTCTGACTGTGGCTGGGTTTGGATCGGACTATCCTACTTCACAACAGACTGTAGTAACAGGACCTGAGTGACACCCTCCAACACCCCCCTCCCCTACCCTCTGTCCTTCTGTCTGTCCTGCCATTTGGTCTTTAAAAATATAATTCAGTTATGAAATCAGATTCATCCATTTCCACCTCTTACCACAAATGTGCTGTCTGAAATTTGCTTCACTAGTTTTTAGCAATGAAGCTTCGAGGCTAACAAGTGCTGTTTTTATTTGTTTGTTGCTGTTTATTTGTTTGTTGGAGTTCTGTTTCTAGCAGTGTGACATACTCATCTGCTTTAATAGAAGCAAATGTTTGATGATTTAGGCATGCAGTAAGCACCAGCACCATTGGTGGGGTATACATTTCCATTACCATTTCCATTTGCCAAGGCATTGTTTTACATTTAATATTTTTTTATTTATTTCATGTTTTTATTCATTTTACCCTGTTTGATCTGTTGCTTATTATTTTGTTTTTGCAATTTTAATGATTTATTCAGATTTGATTGTTTTCCTCTATTAAATTTACTATTATCATTAGTATTATTTATTATATATTTTTAGAATTTGAAATATTTTTACCATATAATTTTTTAATCTCTGATTTCTGTATTACACACTTTTGTCCATTTTTAAAAGTAAACTCATAAGAACCTGATGTGGTTTGAGGCGAGACTGTGATTAGGTATGAAGTTAGCACCATGCTAAGTGATGGCGCATACGCTTCTATGAATTGTTAGCTACATTAGCCTCGTAGCTCCAGTGCTAAAGCAGCACACTCAAGGCACCAAATATGTCTTAGATGATCAGTTACATTTGGAGTTGGAGTGGAAATGAGGGAATTAGATTTGTAGCCTTAATGCTGTCCCCTGGCTCGTGCTGCCCCGGTCAGGACCGTAAGCGGAGCTACAAAGCGGTGCAGTCGTGCGATGAAGGCGTAGCGTCAGGTGACGCCCTCGTAGCACTGGCGCACAACTCCACCTACATGCACAACGTCCTGGGACCTGCGTGCATCTTCCTCCGCAAGGGCTTCGCTGAGAGCCGGCAGGCTGTACGTAAGTGTGGACGCACACAGACAGACAGATACAGATATGTATATTTATATGCATTGAGAATCAGACTGACTGTGACCATGTGTCTCTTTATTATGTATTTTAAAAATGTTTTATTTTGTAGTTTGTTTTGATTTTTATTCAAAATATTTTATCTTGATTTTCTTTTTGGTCTAGTATTGTTTTTACTGTGTGTGAATGTTTCTTTTTTTCACATTTGGTGTAATTTTAAATGAATGTTTATTTATATTCCCTCTTGTAATTTTAGCACTTGGAACAAAATGCCATGTTTGAGACATGTAATGTAAATAAAGATCATTATAATTATTATTATTATTATTATTATTATCTGTCTACCAGTAGCTCTAAATAGCACATGATGTACACTGAGCAGTGCAGCGTGTGAGGATTTACAACTATAGGAGTGAATTTTCCTCCAGAATGTATAAAATGCAGAGGAATGAAAGCAGATTGCTGTTAAATAAGAGCGCAGACTCTGTTACTGTTGGAGGTTTTGCTCTGATGGACGTGTTGACCTTCCAGCAGTCCACTGTTGCCTTTTTGGTGCACACAGTGTTGTGTTGCTCGGGGTTGATGTGCCATGTGCTGTTCCAATCTGCTGCTCGAGCTGCAGGCTAACCACTCTCATCTGCAGCTTTGATGGAGTGGCGGTTTACAGAGGTCAGGGGTCACGTGATCAAAAGTTAAAGGAATACTCCATCCTTTTTCATCCTAATCTCTGTCTGCTGCTTTTGAAATACACAGAGAGCTTATTTTACTCTAAACTGGCCTATAATAGAAGCTAATGGGCAGATGCTGAATTCAGTTAGTGTTTATGCAAAACGTGCTTCTGTAGAACACTTTCATGAGTTGTGTTCACAAATTAAGCTACAAATCTGTATAATTGGTTCTTTGGGACCAGCTTTCCAGGAAAATGTTTGGTAATTTGTTACCTGAATCACCATGGATACCGGAAAAACTTTCTGACAGGAAAAGATTTTTAACAAATTTGTATTACAGTGTTGGAACGTTGAATAAAACTCATGTTATAAGGTCACATATTTCAAACATTTATTCACAGAACTCAGCAACTGCCCATTAATTTCTGTTATAATGAAAGTCGGTTGGTTTTCTGTTCTTTTCTAAATTTAGGGAAATGTGCTGAAATTATTGTCTGTGGTAATCGACCGTACGCTACACATACAGCAGATAGAGATTAAGATGAAAAACAGCTGTAATGCTCCTTTAACCCAAACCTTCACTGGATAGATAGATGATGCTGATGTACTGAGGTCAGGACACTGGAGAACAACAACCTAAACAAACAACAAACAGAACAAATTCCCATTAGGCATAGCAAGGCAAGTTTACTAATACAGCTCCTTTCATACAATGTGGTCATTCAAAGTGCTTTACAGATGAGAAAATATAAAGATAATCCAAGTTTAAAATACAAAAAGCAACGTAAGGTAAGGGAGAATGGAAATTAAAACATGATGAAAACAATAGATTTTAAAAGAGAAGAAGTTAATCATTAAATTGAGCATAAAAAAATATGATAGAGTTTAGAAGCCTTCTGTGGTGTCCCTGAACACATTTGTATAGATAAACCTCAAACCTGAACAACAACTATGATATCAAAAGTCAACAACATCATCAAAAAATCTCATGCTTATATAGTTATTACATACTAAGGCTTATTATTCAGTAACTACAGGGACTTCAGTGCAAACCGGCTGAGCCCATTTAAGGAGTAAAATCAGTCAGATATAACTGGTGAATATGCTGCTTGAGGTGCACAGGTGAACCGTCTGCCTTCTGTATTCTGTATTCATTTAAACTGAGGGGTAGTAACTGGGCTGACTAGTGACTGTGCTGTAATCTTGTATTTTACAGTTTTATTTTCTTTTCAGGACAGAGAACTGAGGCCAGAGGAGCTGGATGGTAAGATTTCTCTCACTAATATGATATTTAATTCTGTTTTTTAAAGACTACACTATAATATATATATAATATATATATATATATATATATATATATATATATGTATATATATATATATATATATATATATATATGTACAGATATCAGTACATTATATCACTATATCAGATTTACACCCATTAACCACAACAATAGACCACTGGTGATCTAAATTATTATACAGTGCAAAAATTAGTCATAAATCGATGGTTAACGTCAGTGTAAATATGATCCCACTACTGGAACTGATTCAGAGGTGCAACCACAGTAATAATGCTTTTAAAATCTGATTAATATGCTAACGTTACTGATGTTTGAATGAGTCACTGTGAGTCACTGTGTATGAAGTCATTGCTCTGGTTTTCACTTGGTCCAGTTTCTGTGAAGATTGTTTTGTGATGAAGGATTCAGTGATGAATGTTTTGGTCATTCATGCTGTATTGTAGTGTTAATGAGCTGTTTGTCACTGTTAGCATCAAACATTCAGAAAGCTGATGGTTTTGGGTTTACTCGAAAATACATAAATGTGTTTGGTGTCCGCAGAGCTTCGGGAGGCGTTTAAAGAGTTTGATAAGGATAAAGACGGCTTCATCGGCTGTAAGGACCTGGGGAACTGCATGAGGACGATGGGCTACATGCCCACAGAGATGGAGCTGATTGAGCTCAGCCAGCAGATCAACATGAACCGTACGTGAGAGACAGTGTTATTAAGAACTGTTTTAAAGTAGTAGCTTGGTGCAATTTACAATTTTCATGGAGGTTCTTAGCACACCAATTAATGTAGTTAACAAATGAGCTCATGCATCTGAGAGGCTAATGTATACCAAATAAGGTATGCTTGTACCACCCACCAGTTAGCATAGTTATGAGGCTAATTTAGCTAACAAATAGTAGAAATAATGCTAAGTGGAGGGGTATAAGCTCCCATTACATATTAGCCTCATTAGCTGTGAGAAAGTTGTGTGCATTTGATTGTTATTTGAAACTAGTTTGAAGTTTTAATCTTGTTTTTTGTTCTTTCAGTGGGGGGTCATGTGGACTTTGAGGACTTTGTGGAGCTGATGGGACCCAAACTGTTAGCAGAGACGGCTGATATGATTGGAGTGAAGGAGCTGAGAGACGCCTTTAAAGAGGTAAATGCAAACTTTTAATGCGTGCTGCACTTAACGCTCGCTTAAAGAAAATGTGCAATAGAAGATTACATCAAGCTGTGATAAGACTCTCTGAGGCAGATTTACTAAAAGAGGCGCTAATTACTTACACTCTGCAGACGCTTTAGCTGGTTATCCAACTTAAACTTTAAAAGTTTAATGCGAATGAACCCAGGAGCAACTTCATAGCACACATATATGGCATAAAAAAAGAAAAGTCACATTGTATGACAGCATATTACACAGCTTTTTAAATTAAATTAATTTGAGGACACTAGAGTTCACCCAACTCAAACTCTAGTCAAAAGTTCTTCTCAGGTTTTAATTCTGTGCCTCAGTTAGGTAAACAGTATCAACAATACTCAACTCTCTGGGACCTTTCCATCACACAATCCCGCCAGGCATTTCGTCCTCTCCCACTTACGGATGGGTGTGGCATCACTGGGGTTTGAGCTCACGATCTGCTGATATTGGGGCTTAATGCTTAGATGAATGTGCTGCTTAGGAGCCTCTGAGTTTTGTTGTTTTAACAGATTGTTGTTCAATTAACTTAGTATTTTACATTCAAATAACCCAAAACTGTAGATCAGCTGCAAATAACTTAAAAATAAATCTAAATTAAATTGCAAAACATGGATATTTGTGTTTTTTTAAAGTAATTTATGTGTTCCTATAGCCCTGAGGTCAATTTTGTTGAACGAAAATTAACATTTTAACCCAATAATTTTCATAATTTTTGTTCAGGTAACCAAAAATGTTACATAGGCCAACAGAGTGAAGTTGAATATTTTCTAGTGTGTGACCAGCATGATATAAATCACATACACATTTTCAGTAACTATAACAAGGATTTTGTGAGTCGCTCTGGATAAGATACGAGCATTTTAATCATTCTTAAACAGAATGTGTTTATATAGTTATGACTATGAAACAGAAATGTGCGAGTTTTGATCAGTAACGGAACATCTAGGCTTCAAAAAGACTGGTGTATATGTAATAAATATGTATTACTGTATCATCACTGTCTGAAACTGCTCACTGTGAGTCTGTAGTTCTGGAGGCTCTTTAATTGCTGCTGTGTTTGTTTCTCAGTTTGACACTAACGGAGACGGTCAGATCAGCACCGCGGAGCTCAGAGAGGCCATGAAGAAACTTCTGGGCCAACAGGTCAGAGTCAGGGTGACCAATCAATACATACAGTCGGTATCAATACCCAATCGTTACCTGCTATTTATATTAATATCCAATCGGTACCTACAGTCAATATCAGTACCCAATCAGTAAATACAATCAATATCAACAGCCAATCAATATCCAGTCAATACCTACAATCAATATCAGTACCCAATCAATACCTGCAGTACCTACAATCGATCAATACCTGGAATTGATATCAAGACACAATTGATACCTGCATACCTCCTTTATTTCTTTCTTTGTATCTCTAATTTCATGTTCTCTTTCACTCTCTCTCTCTCATCATTTGCTCTTTTTCTCTGTTTCTCTCTCTCTCTCTCTCTCTGTCTCTCTCTCTTTCCTGTCTCCCTCTCTCTCTTTCTCTCTTTCTTCCTTTCTGTTTCTCCTCTTTTCTCTCCTCTTTCTGTTTCTCTCTCTCCTTCTCTCTTTTCTTTCTCTCTTTCTCACTACTTTCTCTCACTCTCTCGTTTCTTTCTCTCAACTCTGTCTCTGTTTTTCTCCTCACTCTTAATTTCTCTCTCTCTTCTCAATCTCTTTTCTCTCTCGTTCTCTCTCCTTTCTCTCTCTCTCTCCCTTTCTGTCTCTCCTCTTTTCTCTCTCCTCTGTCTTTATTTTTTCTCTCTTTCTCCCTCTCTCTCTTTATTCTCTCTCTCCCTCTCCTCCTGTTGGTTGTTTAGATGCTGTAGTGTTTCTCCTCCTGACTGTGTTTGTTTGTTTGTACTTTAGGTGGGACACAGAGATCTGGAGGACATCCTGCAGGACATTGACCTGAACGGAGATGGTCATGTAGACTTTGAAGGTGAGAGAGCTGTTTTATGTTTAATGTGGGCAGTGGTGGCATGGTCAGTGTTTACCTCCTCAATCAATAAAAAAACATATCTCTCACTTTCTGTCTCAAACCTAATGTCATACGACACTATCGGACATAGCTGCTAGCATACCAGCTAATAACATTAGCATTAGCTACTTAGGCAGCTATCATTACCTCTGTAAATTACAAATATTGACAGAGATATTATTGCAGTGTCCATTCTGGTGCTCTTATTGGTGATGTAACAATGCTTGGTGACTTTTTTCCTTACCTGAACGAGTAAAGAATTCACTAAACTCTGACGCTTTCTCAGTAACGTTAATAGAGGTCTCAAAAGAGGTGCATTTACAACTGAAAACACAAACAGGTCAAGCTCAGATAAACAAACATCACTCTAAAGGTGTTTCTGACAAATAGTGATGCAAAAAATGTTTCAGGCTGAGTGTGGGTACACATTTTTTAGTACTCACCAATACAGAGTCTGATACCACACTCAGTACCAACTTACAGTGAAGTAATTGTTTGTGTAAATGAGTGTACTGTACCTCAACAGTTAAATCATTAAATCTATCTGATTTTAGTTGAAGTGGATTAGATAGCTATGCTACATTAGTTATCTCTAATTGAGTGGCGCTGCAGTGGAGGAGAGCGGATTTTGTTCCCTGTCAGAAAAGCTCTTCTGTACAGCTAAAAGTAAAGTAGGTTTCATAGTTTTGATCCTCATCTGTCTCTTTCAGCAGCAGCACAGCAACACCAGGAATCACATCTGAGGCTAACGCATCCGAGGAGCTCACGCTTCCAGTTTTCTGTGATTTTAGAAATCTTGTTCTTTGGTGACTCACACTGCATGTTTGAATAGACCATCGTGTTCGGACAAAGCTACAATTTATATATTCACACTGTACGAAAACGCTCCATCTGACTGATCTGCAGCCTCTACAGACGCTCTGCCTATAGACCATTATCAATAAAGCTGATTCATTCAGAATAACATGGTGAGACACTGAGCAGCACTGCTAACACAACACTAAAGCTAAAAGCAGGCAGCGACATTCACGGTAGGACAGTACGGTCTCTCTACAGAGTCTATATTTTATTGTTGACGTTTTGGCGTATTTTGAATAAACAATGGCCAGTTTAGGTCATTAAAAAATGCTAAATAAAAATTAAACAAAAACGTACACGTTCTCTGACACGGATTTGTTGAGATTTTTAACATGGCCCCTTTAGTGGTTGAGTCTGACACCCAGGCTATAGGTGGTGTCTATGTTCTCGGCTGAAGCTGTAGAGGAGCGGAGCTGCACGGCTTTTTGCCAGATTATCTCCTAACAGAGGGATTATTTCACCTCCTAGATTACCCCTCAATAAAAGAGCAGAAAGACATGGAGGACAAAAATAGCAGCTGCTGCTCTTCCTGCAGGACACACACACTCACTGTGAGCTGAACAAGTGTGACAGCGCAACACCCCGAAGCTTCAGCTTCAGCGTACTCTCACTGCACACTCACACAAGGACATGAATAAATACAACAAAAAACGAATAAACAAAATTTAATACACAAAACTCATGGCAGTGGCTGTGCATGAAACTGTGACATATTCACTATTCAGCACACTCTTTTATCTGTTCAATATACAGTGCACGGTTTGTTTGAAACTAGGCCCAATCCACTATGTACTGCATTATTTTTTTCTGAAATGATGCTCTGTTCACTTTGTAGTGCACTATTTTGTCAGAAACTATGCCCTGTTCACTATGTAGTTCACTACTTTGTCCGGAACTATGCCCTGTTCACCATGTAGTGAGTTATTTTATCTGAAACTGTGAGCTGTTCACTATACAGTGCACTATTTTGTTTGCAACTATGCCCTGTTCGCTATATAGTGCACTATTTTGTTTTAAACAATGCTGTATTTACTATATAGTGCACTACTTTGCACTGTTATTTCTCAAATTATGCCCTGTTCACTATATAGTGCACTATTCCATCTGACACTATACCCTATTCACTACATAGTGCACTGTTTTATTTGAAAATATTTCCTATTCACTATGTAGTGCTCTATTTTTTATAAAACTATGCCCTGATCAGTGTGTAGTGAAGAGTTAATAAAAGTACATTTTAAATTATGTTAAAACTGTAACTTTCCTGTTTTCTCTTCGTCCAGAGTTTGTGCGGATGATGTCCCGCTGAAACCAAACTGAAGTGACTGCAGATTAGAGCCTGAGTGTCCTGTCCAGTGTTGACAGGATGGACGAAGGAGGGAATAAAATTCGGGAAATGACCGTGTCCTTAACACATGGACTTCTGGAACGCAACCTCTGACCTCAATGACCCTCAAGTGAGGGCCAAACACACCACTGCCCTCCAAACACATTCCACACGGCATTCGGGCCAGACTGGGTCGGCTGACGCTGGGGACTGTTTTCACTGTCCAGCAGTGTCCAGCTCAAAGAAAAGCACTGACCGTCTCCTTTTTTTGCTGTGAAACTGTGACCAATTCTTATGCAGGAAAACCTGAGATTTTCCAGCACTTTCTTCTCTGCACTATAAGCAACATATCCAGTGGACGAAAGACGCCACAAACTACTGCAATATTCTTCTTCTTATTATTATTATTTTGGTTTCAGATGTCAAGCTATTTATTACTGTGTGAGAGTGAAAACAGAGTGAGTGTCTTATATAAATGTATATAAATGATGCATATATATATATCTATATATATATATATATATATTTATATATATATATATATATATATATATATGTATATGTATTGTCACTGTCAGACCAAAACTCTATTTTTTCTTCTTTTTTTAAAACCATTTAAAAACACCAGCTGCTCTTTATACTGCGTGAACCTTTCATGACCGACAGAAATGATTCAAAATTACTTGGAATAAAATCTTGTTACATTAACATACATTAAAAGACAAGAGGGCTTTTTTGCCACCTACTGAAAAATGATAATTTAAGTAAGATATAAGACCGTGACCCTACCTGGATTAAACGGTTTAAGATGATGATGTTGATGATGATATAAGATATAAGGTTATGATCAGACAGTGACTATATATATATTTATTTATATTATACTGTATTTGTGTTAGAAAAATACAGTAGTAGCTCTCAGGCTGCGTTCACACTGCAGAAAAAAGTGGTTCAAATCTGATTTTTTCTACACACAAATTTGTTTTTAATGTCAGTGTAAACAGCAAAAATTGACATTTTCAATTCTGATTTGAATTTGGAAACACTTAACCCTCTGTGGTCTGAGGTCAATCTCTCCACCTGTGCATATCTTCTTAATAAGAGGGTTTCCGGCATGATGGTCAGTGCTTAGTGATTTCCTGAGTGTCACAAAATGTTAACGTACACACAAATCCACCAGTTCCACACGGTGAGAGGCAGATGACGTGTATCTCAGCCCCTCTTCATAGCCTCATAACTCTGGATTAACCCCAGAGAGTTAATGTGTGTTATTTTATGTACAATAATGGCTTAAACAGTGTGGATTTAAAAATGACAAACTCACCAATAAGTATCTCCATGTGTTTTTGAATTCTGTGATCACAAAGTTACTAAATGGTGCATAATATACTATAATTATGTAATTTGCATTCATTTTTTTGTATAGTTGAGATTGAGATTTGATCTCCACTTTTAAAATATGATGAACTGTGAATATTTATTTTGTTAGATTTTAATTTTATTCTTGATCTTCCACAGCTCTGTTCATCACTCTGTTCAACACATCTAACATTTCTACAGTTTTATTTACAGATTTTATATTTTTATTTGAGCCGCAAATCTGATTAATCAAAATAAAAAAATGTCAATGCATTTTAAAAAAAAGGATTATAAATTAAATCAATTAAATGACACTTTTAAAAACATTTACTAGAAAAATATGATGTTTTCAATTGTTATTAATATATTATTGTTACATTTAACAGTATTATTAATTTTGTCACCTTTCTGAGCTGTAAATTAGATTTGAGCAGTTAGCCCTGCAGTGCGAATGCATCCACACACACACACAATTACATATAGAAGGTCTAGTTACTACTTTGTATGTCAGTCATTTCTACTGTACAGTATAAGAACCCTGTGAAATGCTGGAGAAATAACCTTTGCTATTGGTTCTATTTATTTATTTACGGTACTGTAATTTAATACATTTGCACTTATGCACTTCTGTGTGATTCTCTGGTATCATTTTGAGTGTTGTTGGGACTTTTATTCTGTATTTAGATCATCTCTATGCCATAATAAAGTAAGACATTTACCTGTGGTCCTCGTTTGCATGAACGCTGGTGTTAAAGTAGCCACACAGAGTCGTTAATGTGCGTTTTGATCAGAATTAACTTTTTTGTTTGAGTGTTACGTTTCAGAACAACGTAAATAAGCGTCTCTAAATGACCTTAATTCACCCTGTCGGAGTGTCCGGTCCCACCGAGGACTGTTTCTGTTCTGTCTTAATTCTCTTCAGGTTTGTTGAACTCGTGTGATTCTATGCATGCCAAAAATTCTGTTTGTAGCAGAGTGTTGATTTAATTAAAGAGCCGTGTTATCAAAACACTCGCTTTGTTTCATCTCTTTATTCTGATTTATTCGAAAATTACATATTACATAAATTTACAGATTAAGAGGCCTCAGAGATTATAATTATACTGCCATGTACATGTTTATGAACCAAAACAGATAATACATGAAATAATGAATCTTTGACGATACTTTTAACACAGAATTGTATTATGTACAAATGTAATTTCTTTATTTTTCTTTATTTATCTTTATTATTTATGTGATGTATCTTAAGCTAAAAAAGGTCCCATATAAATACATAAACCACATAAAAAAGGACTGAACACCCCTACTCTAGGTGTTTATAATACAGTGGCCAGTAAGAACAACAATATAGGTGTTTATAATAAAGTGACCAATGAGCATCAAAATAAAATTTAATTATCATACTTATAATACTGTTCAGTTTATACATAGTGTATTTTGTACACACATCAAACAATAGTAGTAATATTTTATTATATTATATGTATTTTATTATATATATATATATATATATATGTGACATTTTTTGCGATAAAAATATGTGACATACAAATACACAAATTGTTTAAATCTATTATATTTTATTTTATTTCATTGAAACACTGGGCTCATATTGTTTCCTCTCACCTCAACTTTTGAGCTGGAGCTCCAGCAGCTGGTCACAGACGGTTTTACAGCAGAATTGTGGGTTTCAAAGAAACACTTCCACTTGTAGCTCCACCTCACTACTGTACAGTTAGATACATTAGATCATCTGTTTATGCACAGTTTGTGTTAGCCATTCTCTAGTCCAGTTTCTGACCACAGAGCTGCTCTTGGCGAGATTTTTGTGGGTCAAATCACAACCCAGCAGTGACACTGTAAAGTGCCCAATCCTTGTCCTGGAAATCTTCCACCCAGCAGAATTCAGATCCAAAGGTCCTGGCTCTAATGACCTCCATTAGCTGGATCAGGTGTGTTAAGATTTAGGTTGGAGCTAAACTCTGCAGGGTGGTAGATCTTTAGGAGCAGGACTGAGCACCCCTACTCTAGGTGTTTCTAATAAAGTGGGCAGTGAGTGGAAGCACAAAGTAGGTGTTTCTAATAAAGTGGCCAGGTAGTGGAAGTACACGGTGGGTGTTTCTAACAAAGTGGCCAGTGAGTGGAAGCACAAAGTATATGTTTCTAATAAAGTGGCCAGTGAGTGGAAGTACACGGTGGGTGTTTCTAATAAAGTGACCAGGTAGTGGAAGCACAATGTGGGTGTTTCTAATAAAGTGGCCAGTGAGCGGAAGCACAAAGTAGGTGTTTCTAATAAAGTGGCCAGTGAGTGGAAGCACAAAGTAGGTGTTTCTAATAAAGTGGCCAGTGAGTGGAAGCACAAGGTAGATGTTTCTAATAAAGTGGCCAGTTAGTGGAAGCACAAGGTAGGTGTTTCTAATAGAGTGGCCAGAGAGTGGAGGCACAAGGTAGATGTTTCTAATACAGTGGCCAGTTAGTGGAAGTACAAAGTGGGTGTTTCTAATAAAGTGGTCAGTGAGTGAAAATACAAGGTTGGTGTTTCTAGGTGTGGCCAGTTAGTGTACACACGCGCACTTCTAAGCCGCTTATCGTTCTGGGTCACGGGGGGAGCTGGAGCCTATCCCAGCAGTCATTGGGTGGAAGGCCAGTTAGTGTACATAAAGATAAATTTACAAATAAGAATCATGATTTATGCAGAATTAATCTCATTGGTCAATTAAGATATCATTATATAAGGCAAAAGTTCATATTACATAAATAAATAAAACAAATAACAAAGTAAATAAATTAAGCAGAACACAGAAACGATTGCATTTAATTATTTTATGAAGTGAAAATATAAGATACAAGACAACAAATAAAAAGTGAATAAAACAATAATAAAATAATATTAAAAAAAAATATATATATATATGGCTCTTTAAATATACATACGGTTTCATTTATTTTTCACTATTATTATCATTATTATTATTATTGTTATTATTATTTCTCCTGTTTTTGATGTGTGTACAAAATACACTATGTAAAAACTGATCGGTATTTTGACTATGATAATTAAATTTAGAAAGCTTTTATTTTGACGATTTTAACACAAGTATTTGTGCTGAAGATAAAAATCTTTTGTGTACAAAATTTATCATCATAGTTAGGTGGGACTTTTATCAGCTCCGCAGCCAAAAACGCTTTCTCACTGATTCAGGATCAGTTTCCGGTCCCCCTCCCACTGCGGTAGAGTTACAGTAGATCATAAGAGCTGATCTCAGGTCAGAGATGTTCTCACTCTAAGACCGAAGCCCCGGATGAGCGCGTTTTCCGCTGCGACTCGGTGTTTAGCTCGGCTTTAAACCGGCATCGTAACAAAATTTGGTTACATTTAATGAAAGATAAATTAAGTACATGAGCTGAATCGCTGTTTAACATCATCGGTGAGTCTGAAATCAGCGGCTTTGAGTAGAATTAATCAGATATCTGCTTTGTTATTCGCGTTAGCATGCTAGACGGCTAATGCTGTTAATGCTGGTGTTATAGCGGTTTTTAGCTTTAGCATATAACAGCTTCACATTAGCAGATTTTGAAATTATGTGTCGGGAATTTATTCCACATTCTAGTTAGATATTATTATGTAGCTCATAATACTGCATTAAATTCGCTTCTCCACTTAAGCAGGTTAGCATAGAAGGTTAACGTTAGCTGTGCTTTAGCTAGTATGTGTCTGGTCATTCAGCTGAAACGTTACTGTAATTCAATACTGCTTAATAATCACTGATGATATTAAAGCAGATAACGCTCAGATAAGCGTAGATTGAGCTGCAGAACACAGAGTTACTCTAACCGTTTAGTTCTAAACATAGAACAGGCTTCTTATTCGCCATTTCCGTTCCACCTTAAGAGGTACATTAATTAGTCCACATTATAAACGTGCACTATACTGTAACTGGTTCAGTATTTAAGGTGGAACGGGAAATTCAAGCAGGCCGACTTAAGCTACAGAGGAGCCACATAAAACCTGTGTGGATATTATTCGTCAAACTCCTCCAATTTTTCAAAACGTCTGCATAATTAAGTGGTTAAGATGTAAACAGAGTCGTTGAGAGTGGTTTGGTGTGAAACGCTCTGTTCTAGAGTCAGAATTGTTCACAGTGGTGGTGGGAACCAGACGTCCATCTCTAAAAGCTCCCTCACAATAAGTTATTACATGAAATGGTTATGAATTCACTGTCTGAGACATTGTTTGACGAGAATTTTGAGAACTTAAAAGCCATTCATGGTGGAGGGATACATGCAGGCTGTTGTGAGGCAAAAAATATGAAAACACATGTAGGTTCACTGGTGGTTTTGGATAGTAAATAAAATGTCTATATTCGTGTTGTAGTCAAGGAGATGCCTTAAAGGGTTGTACTGCACAGCTGTGACCCAAATTTGTGGCTTACAGCGGCCAAATGAAAGTGGTCAGTAATAGAGTTGCTCTAATTTAGTTCTTTTGCAGCTGGTGTGCTTCGTTCTGCAGCTGATCACTGTAACATAACTAAAGAGATTGTGCTCTAATGGTCAGTAGTATGTATGTTATCATGTAAATCAGCATCTTGATCTATATTGTAAAAATAAGTGAAGATAGCTGTTCTGCCTTCAAAAAAAGGAAAGTGGTAACTTATTTAGCCGGCTTATTGCTTCAATTATGGACGAGGTGTGTCTGTGTTATTACTGCCTAGCTGGAAAATGTGTTGTTTTTGAGATTATTTCTCATTTTTCTCATCAGAAACTCTGTTGGGGCGGATACTGATGTGTTGGAACTCGAGGGGATGAAGAGGAAGTCGAATTCTTCTGCTGGAGCACTACAGAGCAAAGGCCCATATACTAAGAACTGCTGAAAGCGATCTTAAATGCCACCTAAACATGTAGGATTTGTTGACTTAAAGTTTATCTTCGGCCGTTCCTGATAAAGAGAGGTGTTTCTCCAGATGTTCTCATGAAGGCCTTGTTTCAGCGCAGGCTTCAAAAACTGAGGCTCTAAAAAGCAGAACAAACAAAGTTATTTCTCTGCAAGACGCCTCTGGCTGAAATCTCCGCCACAATGGAATCCTACCTGTTCCCATTCGATAACCTGCTGTGCATGCTCCTGGGCATCTCCTTCACCGTCTGGTTCACACTTCTCCTCGTCTTCATCATTGTACCGGCCGTTTTTGGAGTGTCCTTTGGCATACGCAGGCTGTACATGAACACGCTGCTCAAGATATTTGAGGTGAGTCTACAGTAAGTAAAATTGTTGATGTGGATTTGTATTGTCAAGCATAAAAAGGACAACTTTGCAATGTTCGTATGATCCACACAGTCATTCTGACAGACTGTAATACACTACAGGAAGTGTAGGGGGCGATAAGACTTCTATTGTTACATTTAAAAAGTGCTCTATATTGTTCATATGATCCACACTGTCATTCTGACAGACTGTAATACACTGTAATGCAGGAAGTGTAGCATTGCTTCAGATTGCTTCAATTCATCTTGACTATGCGCATCTATGATTTATTTATTAGTTGATATGCAATATCATTCTATCATGCAGTATCAGCACTTCACTATCCTGTAATTGTGTTTTGGTTCCTGTATCCACTGTCCATCCTCCTCAGTATTTAGGATAATCTGCAGACTCAGTGTGTTCTCCAAACCTGCGCTGGAGCTGCAAGTTATAAATAGCCACTCATCTCAAACTGAAGGAAGTGATGAGTTTGAGCCACTCTATTACACCAGAAATCCTCCACTGCCTCTTAACTAATTTATAATGACCATATTAGGGAACATCAACCATCTAGGAAGTATTTCTGTCCTTTTATGTCTTTTCACTGTGATTTTAAAATGAAATGCCGTTAACCTTCCATGTGAATATTAGACACACATCTGCAGATTTTAACTGCGTGTGTCAGTAAGAGTCCTCTGTATTTGAAATAATGACAAGTAATATACAGGCAACATACATATCATTCACAGACAATACACAGTATACAAGCAACATATAGATTACGTAAGGACAAGCAATATACATAAGTGTGTATGGTAGTGCAAACAACAGTAATCTACATCATATGAAGGAGTGAAACTGTGGTGCACAGTGGAGTCTGAAGCAGAGTGTAATAACTATCCGAAGGAAGAAAAAAAAAAGTTGTCAGTATAGTCAGTTGTTTATGTGCTGTTCTAACTATGTAGGTTGTGCAATATCATACGTTTCCCAACAGCCAAAGTCATCTATTCAGCATAGTCATGCAAGCTGTGATGCAGGTTCAGTTCTGGTTTTTATGGTCGTTGTAGTCCATCGGGTGATGAGAACAGTAGAGAACAAATCCAGAGGTTTGCAAACAAAGGGCTCAGAAGTCGTTTAGTTTGGAGCTGTAATGTTATACACAACAATGATTTGGGATTTTACAGTTTGCCTGCTGAAGAAATCCTCTCAAAGACTTCTCTGAATTTGAGAGCTGGGGCACCTCTTGCTGCTCAAACTGCCTTTACTATTTTTACCTTATTTTTAATAATAATAATAATAATAATAATAATAATAATAAAATAATAATAACAATAATGATAGTGAGCTGATTAAATAAAAAATCACATTTAATAACAGGGTGTTTTACTTTTAGATAATAAACTATTTCGCTTCACATATTGAAATTTATGCACTTCTGCTGGTGTGGGTTTTCACGCACTCAAGCAAAAAAACGCTACTTAGGTGCTAATAGCACATAGTGAGTTATTGTAGAGGAAATTAGTTATCTGTACATTTCTGTACAACATTAACAATAAGAAAACCTTTTACACACTGTTTGTAGTCTTTGACAGTTTGTTTGTTTGACCTACTGACTATATCATGTTGTGTCAGTCAGTAAAGCACTGTTAACTAAAACTGTTAGGAGTATACCATTTAAAATATATGAGTGTAAAATTCAATCAATATTATGTTATTGAAATTTTATGCTGCTTAAATCCTCTAAATGTTCTGTCCTGTTGTGATTGTGAGTCAGTGTTTATATCCCCAGAGCGGTCAGTCGTGTGTGTGGTCAGAGGTGAGCATGAGTAAACAGAGCGCTAATTGCTGACCAATAAAAACACGCAGAGCTCTCACTGGTGTAATCTGGGACGGCGTGTGGTCTGTAGGGAGCGCCATTGTATCCCTGAGGAACAGTGTAGCAGAAGGATGGAGGGATGAGCAGATGTGTCTGAGCCCCTGATGGCCTGTTTACTCTGTAGTGGGCTTACGGGGGATTCGGGCTGTTCTTAAGGGACCTCGCAGTGGAGTTGCTGTGGGACCAAATGGAGATGAAGCACATAAAGTTACACTGCTTTTCAGCTTAAAGCTAAAAATCTGTTTCCTCTAGTTCAGATGAACGCAGCATACCTTACAAATGAACTAGGCGTATAGCTTGACAGTTACCTACAAGGCTAATGTTGCTGACAAGTAAAGGAGGCATTAGCCTGCTAGTGAGTTATGGAGCTAATGTAGCTAACAAGTGCAGAAAGCTTATGGCCCACTTGCTAGCTGTGAGGCTAATGTAGCCAACAAGTAAAGGAAGCTTATAGCCCACTAGTGAGCTACGAGTCTAATGTAGCTAAAATGTAAAGAAAACTTTAGCACTCTAGTAAGCTATGAGGCTACGAGGCTGCTGTATCTAAAAAGTAAAGTGAGCTTATAGCCTGCCAGGTAGCTTTAAGGCTAATGTATCTAACAAGTAAAGGAAGCTAATACCTCACCAATTAGCATTGTGCTAACTGCCTGCCTAAATCATCAGACTGTGTGAAGGTGTTCAGTATCTCTAATAGTCTTGATTATGTGGTTTCTGACTCACTGTTATCTATAAACATGGACTAAAGTACATTAGTGTAGCTAAACAGTCTTCCATCTGTGTGTCTGTTTTTACTATAAGCTCTACATTTTATAGCAGTTGTATAAGAGTTTTGTGTTGTGTTTGTGTATGTTAATGAGCTGTTGTTGTTTTGTTTACAGTGGGCTACACTGAGAATGGAGAGAGGAGCTAAAGAGAAGAACCAACAGCTCTACAAACCTTACAGCAATGGTGAGAATCAGCTTAGAAGTTAAATATACATATATACTTCCTTTCTCCACTGACGCTGAGCCATTTCCCGGAAACCAGGGAGCCTTCACAGTTTGCTGTTGCTTTACCAAAAGACACAAAATAGTGGTTGTTTGCCTTTTCTTGGTCTTTTGGAAAATGGCAGATTAAACTGTAAGCAGCTTTACATGGCGATCCATTCCATCGCTGTTCACTTGATTCCAGAACAGCAGGTTTAAGGTTTTTGTACTATTACGGTCCATTCACAGTTAAAGTTGAATTTTTTTCTTCTGTAAAGTTACTGTCTTGGAGATGTGACGTTTTGTCACGACAGCATATTTGGAGAATAGAGATAAAATTTTTTGGTGGACATGATTAAAGTCTGGTCTGTTTCTTGCGGTCTTCCTTGCGCCACCAGGCATCATAGCAAAGGAACCAGCGTCCCTGGAGCAGGAGATCCAGGAGATGAGGCGGAGCGGCAGCGGACTGGGTGGGGTCGAGTTCGACATGTCTGATATTTTCTACTTCTGCCGTCGTGGCGTAGAGAGCATCGTGGATGACGAGGTGACGAAGCGCTTCACAGCAGAGGAGCTGGAGTCCTGGAACCTGCTGACCCGCAGCAACTATAACTTCCACCACATCAGCACCCGGCTCACCGTGCTATGGGGGTTGGGGGTCCTCATCCGCTACGGCATCCTGCTGCCACTCAGGTATAGTAGGGGTGGGTGTACTACTGCAGTGGGCTCTGGGTGGGGGGCAAGGTTCCTGCTGACATTCTGTACGTTAGCATTGAGGGGACATTCTACTGACACTTGGGTATAGTGGGGTTGGGGTGGCATCCTGCTGCCACTCATGTACAGTGGGGTTGGGATGGCATCATGCTGCACACGGGTACTAAAAGGTTGGACTAGCATCCTGCTGCCACTCAGGTGCAGTGGGGTTAGGATGACATCCTGCTGCCAGTCAGGTACAATGAGGTTGAGATGACATCCTGCTGCCTCTCTGGTACAGTGGGGTTGTGATGGCATCCTGCTGCCTCTCAGGTACAGTGAGGTTAGGTTGACATCCTGCTGCCACTCATTTACAGTGGAGTTAGGTTGGCATCCTGCTGCCACAGGGTACAATGAGTTTGGTATGGCGTCCTGCTGCCACTTGGGTACAGTGAGGTTGGGATGGCATCCTGCTGACACTTCAGTACAGCAGAGTTGGGATTACATCCTGCTGCCACTCAGGGACAGTGGGGCTGGGATGGCATCCTACTGCCACTCAGGTACAGAGGGGTTGGGATGGCATCCTGCTGCCACTTAGGTACAGAGGGGCTGGGATGGCATCCTGCTGCCACTCAGGCACAGTGAGGTTGGGATGGTATCCTGCTGCCACTCAGGTACAGTGGGGTTGGGATGGCATCCTGTTGCCACTCGGGTACAGTGAGGGAAGGGAGTGGGACATTCTACTGCCACTGTGGTACAGTGACGGGAGGGGGTGGAACATTCTGCTGCCTCTCAGGTACAGTGAAGGGAGGGGGTGGGACATTCTGCTGCTGCTCAGGTGAAGTGGGGTTCTGGGGGACTACCTGCTGCAACTCAGACAGTGGGATGAGGAAAGTGGCATCCTGCTGCCACTCAGGTCCTCTTGGGTGGGGGGCGTGTCCTGCTTTGTCATGCATGGGCGGGAATCGTGCTGCCACTAAGGAGCAGCAGGGCCAGGAGGGGGCATTCTGATGCCACTTCCCGTAACTCTGTATATTGAACAAAGAGCCTTTTATCTGTCATTGCTGTACATCATCCAGAACAAAAAAACCTTCATTCTACCCACTAAGTAAAGCACATTTAAAGTCCTGTTTGTGTTGTGTGAAAGTGAAAGGTGCAGGTCCCTGAGGGTGTGTTTTTTTAGGATCAGACACTGAGATGGTGTGATAAATCTTTAATTCTTGGAAAGATCAATTTGCTAAGTAGATGCGATTAAAAAAAGGCTTTGTTTTGGCTGCCACTGATATGAACAAGCCTGTAACATGGTGAGAGGTCTTATGAATAATTCAGAGCCAGGGTTTGTCTAATGTTTCTCCACTGAGCGCTCCAGGCAGCTACACAAACGCACCAGCTGCGGTTTCTCTTATCTGATATACCTGCGGGTGTTTCTTTTTTTCCTTGAGTGTTCACGGGTGTGGCCACACAGGCAGAATACAGAGCAGCGGTGCCCTTCCAGATAAAGGAAGTATTATAAGGTGGAGATTATGTGGGCAGATGATAGTTTATTTGTGTGATTGTGTGTTTATTTAACAGGTACAGTACGTTTCAGTCAACCACATTTTTAATGATGGCCTGCTGTTCTTCCTTTTACTATTATTATTATTTTATTTATTTATTTATTTTTTGTACTGTTTTCACAGGTTGCAAATTTTCAAGCTAGAACTACATTTTGCAGGATCCTAGAGCCTGCTCTAGTCCGCAAGTGGTTTGGTTCCCTTTCAAATGTATTTTTTTCTAATTCAAATATTACTGTGACATCTCTCACATTGAACTTCTTTTTAGACTTTATATATTTAGACTTTACCCTTTCACCCTATTCTTCAATGGTCAGGACCCCCACAGAGCAGGTATTATTTGGATGGTGGGACATTCTCAGCACTGCAGTGACACTGACGTGGTGGTGGTGTGTTAGTGTGTGTTGCGCTGGTGCGAGTGGATCAGACACAACAGTGCTGCTGGAGTTTTTAAACACCTCAGAGTCGCTGCTGGACTGAAAACGTCCAGCCGGCAGCGTCCTGTGACCACTGTTGAAGGACTAGAGGATGACCAACACAAACTGTGAAGCAGCAGATGAGCTATCGTCTCTGACTTTACATCTATAAGGTGGACCAACAAGGTAGGAGTGTCTAATAGAGTGGACAGTGAGTGGACACAGTGTTTAAAAACTCCAGCAGCACTGTTGTGTCAGATCTACTCGTACCAGCACAACACACCACCACCACGTCAGTGTTACTGCAGTGCTGAGAATGACCCACCACCCAAATAATACCTGCTCTGTGGGGGTCCTGTAGGGGGTCCTGACCATTGAAGAACAGGGTAAGAAAGTATGCAGAGAAACAGATGGACTACAGTCTGTAACTGTAGAGCTACAAAGTGCGCCTATATGGTCAGTGGAGCTGATAAAATGGACAGTAAGTGTAGATACAAGGAGGTGGTTTTAACAAAGTGGCTGGTGGGGTTGATCTATATATCAACCACTAAATGGCCTAGAGATACCATAACAAACTCAAGCATCAGCCTTACATACCATACAATTTAACACTATGCAAATATACAAAACAAGATAATATGATTAAATATTATTTCTTTCTGCAGGGTCACTCTGGCATTCACTGGTGTCGGACTCCTCGTGTTTCTCACATCCATTATTGGCTTACTGCCAAATGGAGGGTAAGTCTTTAGTTGTAGTAATCTTTATTTCATCTACTGCACAGTTAAAGCACAGAAGCTACAATGTTTGCATACTTAGTGGTAGAATAACAGTCTCAGTCCAAAAAGACATAAGTACTCACACAGTACTGAACGTGGAGAACTGAAACAGGGCTGTAGTGATTACTGAAGTCAGATACTAGTCGATAATGACAATGTTACGACTATTACTCATTTAAAAAGCACTTTGTAATGCCCTGTAATGTTAATATGATCCACACAGTGATTCTGACAGACAGGGGGTGATATGACTTCTATTGTTTCATTTAAAGACCGCTCTATAATGTTCTTATGATCCACACATCATTCTGATACGCTATAGCTCTATAATGTACACAGAGGTGGTGACAGTGCTGTGTTTTTCTGGCAGGATGAAGAGTTTTCTGAGTGAGAAAGCCCATCTGATGTGCTACCGCATCTGTGTTCGTGCTCTAACTGCCATCATCACCTACCATGACAGGTACAGACTTGTACTTTCCACAGCAGCCTTTCAAAAGAAGAGCAAGTTCAGATTCACAAAATTCCTCCATAATTCAGAGTTTGAGGTGTAAACAGAGTCATGATGATGGAAAATAGTGGAAAATCTGAAATAAGAAGTTTTCTTTTGGGACTGTTTTCCCTGCATGTATCCCTCCACCATGAATGGAGTTTAAGTTCTCAAAGCTATCATAAAACAGTGCCTCAGGCATCAGGCAGTGAATTCGTAACCATTTCATTTCTGTGAGGGAGCTTTTAGAGGTGGACGTCTGGTTCCTCCACCACTGTGAACAATTCTGACTTGGTAAGTTTCTCTAGAACAGAGCATTTCACACCAAACCACTCTGAACGACTCTGTTTGCATCCTAACTACTTAATTATGCAGAGAATTTTTTAAATTGGTGGAATTTTCCTTTACTGCAAGACCTGAATGAGATGTTTTAGAGCAGAAGGTGTGGTTTTCTCCTGATTGACCTGCAGCTTACTGGCCTCTTTGTTTCCTCACCAGTGAGAACAAACCCAAAAATGGAGGAATCTGTGTGGCCAATCACACATCCCCGATTGATGTCATCATCTTGGCCAGTGATGGCTGCTATGCAATGGTAGGTGGGACACAGTTTTGACAACATCATTTGCCTCCTTTTTTGCAAATGATGTGTAAAAGACAGACACAGTTATTCTCTTTTGTGCCCGATGGAAAGTCCTGTCAGTGCATTATTCACCTTCAGCTGTCTGAGTTAATATTCTTTCACGATACAGCCTCAAACCATGTCCAGTGGGGGATTTATATGGGACAGCACAACATTTTACTTATTCATTTTTCAAATGAATTTTAAAGTTTATGTAATTGAGCTTTTTTACCCCAATTCTCATAACTGTCAAACCCATTAACTTAAGGAAAAGAACAAAGACAAATAATAAGAAAAATTGCAATGGCTGTCAGTAGCCTTAAAATATTTAAAAAGTAGCTTTAAAATACTGAGAACACAGATAAGGTTGGAAACACTTTATACGTTGCGCTAATGAGAATTTTGTCACTTAAGCTGGAAAATGTTCCTCAAAATCAATTTGAAATCAGTCAAAATAGCACTGTAATATTTTATGTTTAAACTGAAAGTATCACGACTGAGTATTAAGAACACACTAAAATATGGTGAGCATGTGCTGCTGCGAGTTGCCCTGTAAAATCTGAAATTATCATTTAAGCCAAAAACGTCAAGTTTTTCACACCACATTGTACGTCTTTACGTATTAACATCACACACAAAGACTCAAAAAGAAGGTCCAGCTTGATGTTTAGGCCTCTGATGATCTCATCAACATTATGCTGGCGAAGCTGTGATGACAATAGTAGATAATTCACTCATATCCTCCAAAGACGTGTCCTTCACCAAGATTGGACTGAGTTCTCTCTGAATTCTTATTTAACAAACTCTCAGAAGTCAGATTCATACGCTTGCGGGGGTCTGAAGAACAACCGAGTTTACAAAATGCTCCTCTGCATGTTGCGTGCAATTACATATTTCCGCCAGAGAGGTCGCCAAATCCCCAAGTCATTCAGGTTTTCTTTTAAACGTTCAACCCAGCATCGCTGTTTATCCAGAATAAGAAGACATGAAGTTTTAGTATTTTTTTGTTTTTCTACTTCTGACTGTGTGTGTATCTGTGTGTTAGGTTGGTCAGGTTCACGGTGGTCTGATGGGGGTCATTCAGAGAGCGATGGTGAAAGCCTGTCCTCACATCTGGTTTGAGCGCTCTGAAGTCAAAGACAGACACCTAGTGGCCAAACGGTAAACTTGCTGAACTTAAACACAAAGCCTAAACAAGTGTATGTAGAGGCTGTTTTAACAAAGCTGCTCAGTCCTGAGGCACCACGTTTACTGTTTTACCTTGAAATACAGGCATGTTTTTAGTCACATTATAATATTTTTCTGTTTATTTCTTCTTTCTAGACTCAGTGATCATGTTGCAGATAAAAGCAAACTGCCCATCCTCATTTTCCCAGAGGGTGAGCCTCAAACAGTGACTTGGGATTTTTTGTTGTGAAATGAAAAATATTTAACTTTGTCTGCAGCTGAAATATTCAGGAATTAACAACTGTGCTTCTTTGCAGGCACCTGCATTAACAACACATCAGTGATGATGTTTAAGAAGGGCAGCTTTGAGATCGGCTGCACTGTGTATCCAGTGGCCATAAAGGTAAAAATCCTTGCTCCTCCTCCTTCTCCTCTCTGCCTCAACATCAGCCACTCTTTACTTTTGTTTTTGTGCTGAGCTAAATCGGGACAGGAAAAATAATCGGTTCAGTATAGCATTGCGATTCTCTTTTGAAATATTCGTAATCAATTAACATTTTCAGTACAGCTTAAATGTGCCAATGGTTCAGATTAGAGGTAGGAAATATGCAAAAATATATCACAATACTTAGAGAAATTTTCATGATAATGTCACAATTTTTTTAGATGTCTGATCAGTTGGAACAGAGAAAAAAGAACAAGTAGTGCTACATTTTAACAATAGTAGTATACTAAAAATATTAATAATATTTGGCACTAAATCCAGTTAAACAGACTAATTTTTCTCTCTTTATAGTGAAACTTGCAGTTGTTCAGTGTCTACAAGTAGTGACAGTTTTCATATGTTCAGAAAAGCAAGTATTTTATTGTGACTTATCACGATAACAGTATATATTGTCATATTCCTCAGTTCAGATGAGCTGTAAAAGTGTGAAAACTAAATACTTAATGGTTTCTAGCAGATCTTTAGCTGTCTAGAGCAACTCCGCTTCAACAGTGGAAAACACCTGTTTTTTAATTATTTATATAATTTTTAGATTTAAGTTAAATTAAGATTTAATAAAATCGTATCTCTAACTGAAGCCCATGAAGCAGTCAGAAGTTTCTCCGGCAGGGGGTGCTATTAGCACGCAAGTCGCTTTTTTTGTGCCTCGTTTAAAGAAAGAGGAAAAAATGTTTATCAAAGTTGTTATAGTATTATTATGTGATTTTCATAAAAGATATGTATTTTAGTTAATATTAATAACAAATAGAGGAGAAAATCCTATAGTAGAATATAGGAATTAAAATGGAGATCCATAAAGAAGCACAGCAAATCACTGTCTTCATTCAGGCAACTCACGGATATACACTCTTGGCAAAATATTAAATGTTTGAAGGTCTTAATATCAAAACATTGAACAAACGGCTGCAATAAGTCAGTGTGGAGAACTTTTCACTTTGATTTCTTTGTTCTGTGTGTTACGTTATACAGTCTTTTACAGAAAGAAGAGTCAGTATTGATCCACTCAGCATTGACAGCTTCAAACAGCTGAAAAACACGGCTTGAGTTTAATGTGAGACCAAATATTCTTTATAGGTTTAAATCTGGACTCCAGCCAGAACCAGCAGTAACAATATTTTGGGGTTGGAACTTTTTTTTTAGTTTTTTTAGTTTAGTGTAGTATTTAGTTTTATAGACCAGTCAGAATTAAAATAACATTGCTGATACATAGACACATTTCGTAGAGTTGGTTTAATTTGCTCAAAATCAGTTTTATTTCCTCAGTAGACGATGAATTAACATAATAGGTAAATATGTATACATCATCATTGTTGGTTAGACAGTCAGCTGCTATTTAGTTTTTTGTTATGACGTCATGGATCTAGGGGTTTTAAAAAGAGGTTGTACATAAAAAGGCGAATGTCGTCCCAACCGCCAGATCAAGCTAAGATGGCAAAATATCAAGTTATTTCTTTTGTTAATCAGACTTAAATTACCATTCTGTAAATGCACTGTAGTAAGATATAGGAGGAATTTTTTTTATGTTAGCCCTCTATTGATTAGAGACAATATAGTAAGATATACTGGTGTTGGGTATTGGGCCAACAGTGTGCTCTTTACTTGTAACGATAGTACCATTCCGATAGTAGCTAATACCGTGTGAGTCATTTTCCACCATCTATATGATTTAACTGTTCGACTGAACAGAATAGTGAGATTTAAACGTCAATACAGTGATATGTTGGTAAATCAGGCTATAGAGAGACCGTACTGTCCTACCGTGACCATCAACGCCTGCTTTTAGCTTTAGTGCTCCGTGTTAGCAGTGCTGCTCAGTGTCTCAGCGTGTTTGCTCAGTACTCATGTTATTCTGAATGAATCGGCTTTATTGATAATGGTCCGTAGACAGACCGTCTGTAGAGGCTGCAGGTCAGTCAAACGGAGCATTTTCGTACAGTGTGAATATGTAAATCGTAGCTTTGTCCGAACACGATGGTCTATTCAAATGACAGTGTGAGTCACCTAAGAACAAGATTTCTAAAATCACAGTGTCTGTCTGGCTTTAGAGGACATTCAGCTACAGCTCAGCCAGCCAATCAAAAGACTCCAACAAGATGGAAAACTGGATGCATGAGCTCCTCTGATGCGTCATACTTTTACTCTGTCTGAATAAAATGCTATCGATGCATTCCTGCCCAAAACCAAACTAACTTTCCTACAATTAAAGAAAAATACAGTAACCATTGGTGTCTCATTGAATCAAACCAGGAGACTGCCAGTAAGTTGTGGTTGTGATGTCACGACTCATGGGGGTTTGGTTGCCTCTGATTGGTCTAACTCATCTACAGGCAGTTCACAAGCTCTGTGTTATTAGGTTCAGTTTCGCCACTTAAAACTTTTTAAAAGTTGCAGCTCTTAAATTGCGATTTCGATATAAAAAATAAAAAACTAATCTCTCAGCCCTATTGGAGCGCCCCCCCTGCTGCAACCAATCAGAAGCCTCCAAGCTCTGGTCCTAGTTAAAGAACAGAATGCATACACACCTTAAGGGTTGTAACATTTGCATCTGAAGTTGATGTAGAACTGTAGATCTGTCGAACTTTTTCTTAGGAACGATGTTGCCAGTTTCTGAACTTCACCTTTTTCACTCCTTGTGAGTTTTCAGCTAAACTGTGTGTGTGTGTGTGTGTGTGTGTGTGTGTGTGTGTGTGTGTGTGTGTTTCAGTATGACCCGCGTTTCGGAGATGCGTTCTGGAACAGCAGTAAGTTCGGCATGGTGAACTACCTCCTCCACATGATGAGTAGCTGGGCCATCGTCTGCAGCGTGTGGTACCTCCCCCCTATGAGCCGAGAGGTGAGGACCACCTTCTCCATCACACATGTGTTTAGACCTTTCATTCAGATCTCTTCACTCTTAAAGGGTGTACTCACACTAGACGATCAGTATCGTGCCTGAGCACGTTTGACCCCTAGTCATGTGTAGTTCATTTGACTAGTGTGATTGATCCATACCGTACTTGGGTCTGCTGAAGGTTCATTTGGACTCGAGCACAGTACGCATCTAGTGTGATCTGAAGTATCCAAAACCGCCAAACCAGGGAGCCGCCGTAAGTCTGTGTGCAAGTACACAGACATTTAGGCAGCCCGTTAAACAATGGAGGCTGAATTGATGCTAAGATTAGGCCCAGCCTGTACATGACAAGTGACAGGTGTGACAGACATGACCATTTCAGTCTATCCCTAAATGGGCAGAACAGAATGTTCTAGGTACAATCACATTATATGCACGGTACAACACACAATACTGAATATAATAGCATATAACACAGCACTAAACACATTACACAGCAGCACATTCCTTCAGATCACTAACCACACCCAAGCACAGAACTCAAACATGCCGTCAATGGAGCTACTATCCTACTTTTCTATTCATTCAGGAATATTTTGATTAATAACAGGTCTGGTTCTCACCTTATTGAAGAACCTGAATTGTAATCGACGAGTAAAGCTGCAAATTCACTCAGCTGCCTCTGTAAAAATCTTCCTATACGTACAGCATTATGAAGCTGTATAAGAGGGTCATGTGTCAGCTCCCAAAATGACTCCAAAAAAGCCACAAAGTAAGTACAGTCATGAACTACACAGCTGTGTGAGAGCTCTGTTCTGACGTAAGCGTGCTCAGGCCCAAAACCTCAAGCGCAGTGTGAGCGCAGCCGGCAAGGGATTAAGGATTGGGGGGACAGTCATGTTTGCGCGTAGTACAAGGCAACTGGGTATGGTGTGAGTACACCTTTAAATGTTTTATTTGTGTGTGTGTGCAGGAGGGAGAGGACGCGGTGCAGTTTGCTAACCGAGTGAAGGCTGCCATCGCCAGGAAAGGAGGCTTAGCTGACCTATTATGGTAAAAACTTTCGTGCATGTGTAGTTGAATTCATACAGGTTTATATACGCTCTCTCAAGTTTGGGCTAGAAAATTTTCAAATGAACAAATTGGTTTATAGTAGTTCATATTAAACAGTTGTTAAAGATCTTTTCACTTTTTTGCTACAAACTGCAGAATTCAAGGATCTGCAGGTTATTTTGGAAATGAAAGGGTTGTCACCAGCACCATGATTTAAAAATGTCTTGAGTACAGTATACTGATTACCTGCTAAAAAACGTAACATGTAACCGAATCCAAGGGATTACTAAGCTGTGTAATGGGGGGAAAAGTAAAAAGAACTGTGTCAATAAGATGAACCTTATATAAGACAAACAGGGCAATTGTGTTGTTTAATTGATATATTGTAAATGACTTCAGTTGTCTGCATGTGCTTTGTATGTCCATTTGAAAATATTGTGAAATTAGTTGGATATTCAAATAAATCATACACAGTTCAGAATAGAAAAGCACACCTTGATGAAGATGAAACAGTGTTGAAGATAAATATACCCAAAGCATCAGTACAGAGCTGCTTTATGTTCATCTAAACTTTTGGAGGGTTTCTTTCTTACTTCACTAAAAGTAACAGTGACAATTAGCCATTACTTTTTAGGCATTTTGGGCTAAATGTGGGGGAGCGAAATTCCTAAACCTATCCAACATGAAGGTGGAGCTCACAATAGGGGGTGCTGGTGTGTATGTCAACATTGTCCAACAAATAACAAGCCTGTAGTTTGTGTATGTAGCATAAGTTAGTACGGTTGAAAAGCCCCCCAAAAGCTCCAGTTAAGCCTGAAGAACACAGTACAGTACAATTAACAGTTCAATTAGTTAACGATAGCGTTTTACTAGCTGGCTTGTTTTACTTGTGTCATTGATTGTACTCTGGATGTTGGAGTCAGACAAGAGGAAGTTGGGGGTGGGGTTTAGAAGAGGTGGACCCTTATTTGCAGCACACATTGCAATTCAGCACCAGAAGTTTAAGAGAGAATAGGTGTCCCCAAACTTTTGATGCAGTGTTTTAAGCAGCATGAATCTTTTATAGCGGCACTTTGCTCATGTCGGTGTTTCTATTGTGTTTACAGGGATGGTGGGCTAAAGCGAGAGAAGGTGAAGGAGGTGTTTAAAGAAGAGCAGCAGAAGCTGTACAGTAAAGTGCTGGTTGGGGGTGAAGAGGACCGAAGTTGTTCCTGAGGACCAGAGGGACTGGTCCAGTAAACTGATCGCACTGACCACGCTGAGCCCAGAGTGCAGGAGCTAACAGCACTGTAAAAAACGCAACAGGGCCTAGAACGTAGCCCTAAGGAACTTCGCCGGGAGAATCAAACTGAACTGGACTGGACTGAAGGAGACAACTGCCTGCGGCCAGTTCCTCCACTCACTGCTCCTCATGCTCTCTCACAGAGATGTTTCTTTGCACTCTTTTGCACGACAGTAACAAAAACAGTGGCATTGAATTCTTGGCAAACTTTTTTGACTTCCTTTGGGACTGCGTGTTACACAGTGTTACATTTCCTTTTCGTTTTTCTATTTATTTATTTCTTTTGCACAGTCTTTTACAGTAGTTATGTGTTCGTGTTTTGAATCTGTTGCTGTAACGCATGCAGGAGGAAAAAATGAAGCTTTGCGCGTGTTTAGCCAAACGAAGCTCATCCTGTGAGCGTGTAGCTGCCGTAGCTCAGAAGCTGTCTCTGTGTGTTCGCTTTGTTAGTGTTTTAAATAAAACACTAATTATGTCCTTTTTAATACAATCTCTTGAGCTGAAGTCTAAACTGATTTTCTCGTTCAGTCTCTAAAGCCTAAAAAGGCACACATTGCATTCATGTTGTAATGCTGGGTATATAATTTAGAGGGCACTGCATGTACAGGAAACTGACAGTCTTTGTTGGTGCAGTTTCTTCATGGGAACACAAATCTCTCCTTTGTTTGATGGGACAAGTTATGGTTACAGTTATTTACTTGAGAAATGAGAGTTTTACACTAATATTGTTTGGGTACATATTTAAATTGGCTGGTTTGGGAGATTTAATTTGCTTGTTGACAAATTTGCATCCACTGATTATATTTCACAAAAATGTTCCCTTTACCGTAATTTTACTCTGTGGCTTTGGGATATGGGATGGATTTGTTTTGGAGTGACACCTACTTTTACATTTACATACACGAAAACTCTCAACTAAAGCACGGTGATGCTAACATGTCCAAACCAAAAGTCCCTGAGATTGTTGACTTTATATTAGCTTTTTGTTATTAGGTATACTGTAATGATCTCACATTTTCTCACATTTTCTCAAATTTTATTACAATTTTATTACAATTCTGTACTCCAGCTATTTTAAATACTTCCAGGCTGCTTTATTAGAAACACCCACCTTGTGCCTCCACTCACTGGCCAATTTATTAGAAACACCCACCTTGTGCTTCCTGTCAGTGGCCACTTTATTGGAAACAACTACCATGTGCTTCAACTTTACTGGTCACTTTATTGGAAACACCAACCTCGTGCTTAAGATACAGTTCTTGTGAAAGAAACATGCTATTATCACAAAATCGCGGGTAGTGCGCGTTTCTGAATGTGCAGTAGTAATTAAATGTTGTATAACTGAGAATATTGCATTTCTAATGGAAAACAACAGAAACCACCTATAATATCACACGCTGCTCTTTCTGTCCATCAGCAGGAAGTATTGGGTGAGGCTATCTAACCAGGTCAGGGCTCCTTATCTCTCCACTGCAGAGGCTCTACACAAATACAACACAAGTGCTAAGTGGCCCTGGTGTATATGACTGATTATAGTAACGGGCATTCATTAGCATTTCAACTGCACACACTGCTGGCACAAACCTCCTAACGAGAACACTGACTTTAGGGTGG